AGCTGCTAGTGGAAAGTATTGAACAGATTGCTAATACCACAGCCAAAATACTGAAAGATCTTAATTTTCAAAGAAATATGATGTAATATGCCAGAAATGACTGTTTTCTGGGCAGAATGGTGTCTTATCTTTATGTAGCATGTTATGAGCTGTGGCTTTGCACTAATGAGACAGAACTGGCCAGTCTGCTGCAAGCCCTGGCCCTCAGCTGGCAAGGACAGTGGCAGTAGGAAGTTCTTCCAGGCAGTGCAGCCAGTGCCTCCACTTCCCCAAACACACACACACAGCATTCCTACAGGCATACATTAGAAATGAAGCTGTCCTACCTGCTAGCATCCAATCACCCTTCACAAAAACAGCATTTTTCCTTTTCTCCAAGCTGCCTGAAACACCATTTTGTGACCTGAATTTTGTCAGAAGGGTAACCTGAACTTTGCTTCATATTCAAAAATTCCAAAATGGCAAGAATTTTGTCCTTTGATTAGATATCATATGTCTACCTCTGTATGGTCTTCACTGGCATCCCCAAATCAGACAAGAGAAAAACACTGCTTCTCTGTGCCTCCTTCTGATGAGACCAGATTGCTCTAAAAGGCAGGTCATAACACGAGTCAGGGAGGAACATGCTGATAACACACTTTGTAGGAAAGAAAGGATTTAGAAAAGGGTTTTTTTTTTTTTGGTAGAAAATGCTTGTTTCTGTGAGACTGCTGGGAAAGATTTCTTCAGTCTAGACTGGATTTTCTGGTCCAAGGAGACAGACTTTCCTCAGAGTTCAAGAGGTTGAGCTTTTGCTTAATATAAACTATAGACTTGTACCTGGGAACTATCTATACTGTTGTCTGTCTGAATGCATCTATTCCTTCCCCATCTTCCTCATTTTGTTTCTCACCACACCTCATCTCTTCCTTTCCCAAATGTTGCCTTGCTCCTACATCAAAACTCAGTTGAAATCTCCAAGTCCTCCACAAGGAAACAGCTCCCGCCATTTTCTGCCTGTGGCTACACAAAAAATAACTATGTGTCTTTCAGAGCTTAATCTACTGGGGATCAAAAAGTGCTTACACAGAAACTATTAAGCCTCAAGTGACAGGAGGCAGTAACACAAGGTGGGTAGAAAATCAATTCATTAAAAAAGGCTTGTTGAGTGAAAATTGAGAACTTCTTGACCGAAACATTTCAGCTCACAGGAGAGATCAACATCCCCCCATTGCTGCAATACTGTGCGAAAGCACGGAGCGGATGGGATGGATAATGCCCAAAGGATCCTCGCAAAATGATCCAGACTGGCCTGGGTTTACTCAGATTTACTGTGACTAATAACTGAAAACAGAGCCTTGAATACTTTTGGAATTATAAAGACAAAAAAAAGCTCTTTGCAATTGGGAAGACAAATAATAGCAACAACTGACAAATGTCTGCGGCATTAGAGGAAAACAGTAAGGTAATGCAAAGAAAAAAAAAGAAAATCTCAAATTGTTAATTTTAATTTAAAGCACGATGGTAACCATTAAATGAAATTATAAATCAACCTGTTATATCATTTTGGCTTCCCTGTGCTGAAAAGCAGACAAAATAAGTGAAAGCGTTTATTGCAATTAGTGGCGGCTGGCTTCCTGCAAATTAAGTGTCACTTAAGTCCATAAATGCTTCCTCCCACTCCATCCTTTCCTACAATTTTGTAAATGCAGAGCAGCAGCCCTGCTGGAACAGCAGATCCACTCACAGTCCCAAGGAAACCAAGCTGTCAAAAAAGAAAACTTCTGAAAAACTTATACACAAAAGCTTTACTAAGGAATAGGGGTGGTATGAGGGTGAAATACCCCTTGGAAAACCAAATGCAATGGAATTGAAAGAATGCAGGATTTCCCAGGCTTGATCTGCAGAACCCAAACACATCACATGATAGAAGTAAGTTGGAAATCTCTTCCCCTGGCTGTTTCTAACCCGTATTGGTTCTGGTTTGCAGCCAGACGTCCCTGGATGCAGCTGTTTCTTATGCCTTGGTAGGCAATACGACCAGTTAGGTCTTTACCACACCCCCGAGAAGAACCAGTATGTTGATGAGATGGTCGTACACCAGACCTTATTTCTTCTTCTGTTTCTACCATAGAAGCATCGATCTTGATGCTTAACAGTCTCACGAGGCATTTCAGACATTTTAAAGCTAGAAAGGAGCTTCTGTCTGAGCTCCTGCATCATTACCTATAGCGTGCCACACCTGACTATTTTTGGATCGTAATCAATCTCTTTAGAAAGAGATTAAGCTGTGGTTTAAAGTTCTCAGAACAGATTCATCACCTCCTCAAATAAGTGATTGCAGTGGTTGCTGACCTTAACTGTTCAAAAAAGATACTTCTTTCTCCGGGCAGTGTATGGACCTTTGATCCTGGCTTTTCTTGTCACATACACAACAAGCCAAGACAACACATACACACATTTATGTTCAGTCAAACTATATCCTTGTGAATAAACAAAATATTGCTGAAGCCTGGCTAGTTAGATCCCTAGCTAGCCACACTGCTTCTCACCCCTCCTGCCTTCTCCCTTGCATATGGAACATGCATTACCACACACATTCCAGAAGCAGCTGCAGCATCACATTAAGTCCAGACTTACAAAAAGCACTAGGGAAATTGCCATTACATTGACAGAAAAGGAGCAGCAAAATAGCGACAACTTTGTTCTGGGGCTACAATAATTGATGCTCTGTGGACCGAGAATCCCTTAAAAGCAAGAAGGTAAAAAAACAAAATGGAAGGGAAGAAAAGCCTGTTCTCCAGAGACGTGACAAGAACTATCAGCCAGAATTGCAGAGAATACCGCAAGGGCTGCAATGTTTGCAGGCTGTAACAACAATCTGATGCATGTAGATGAGTACGACTGCAAACAGAACAGCACTGCAGTTCATGCTCTCTGCCTGCACCTAGAAGGTAACTGCTTAAACCATTTTGCAGCTTTATGATGCACCAAAGCTCAAGATTATTTAAAAAAAAAAAAAAAAGTATGTTTCTTTTTCTTCTATAAAATTTTATTTTACAAAAAACAGCTCTATGGAAAAGTTGCCATGGAAAGCTGAGGACAAGCTAAACAGCATCACAAGAGTGAGCCATTGGGCAAAAATGTAGTTTTTAGTACAACTTTTGGATAACTGATTTAAATTGAACACTGTTATAATTTGGAAAGAAAGGATTTTTTAAATTCAATATTTGTGTTTCACCTACACATTTGCTAAGGCCTTTGTAAATCCCAGCATCTATCATAAGCTCAAAATCAGAAAGAGCAGAAGACTTCTAATGTCACAAGGCAGGGGGAAGAAGGGGCAAATGAACACCCTCATCTTGCGTATTTAAAAAAAAAACAAAAATGAAAACAATAAATCAAAACCTAAGAAGCATGTGGACAACCAAAATCTATCTTTGAAAACTACTGTGATGTCCTAAGGCTCTATACAGACTATAGCAAATGTACAAGTCCTCAAAATACATAATTAAGAATAGCCAAAAAGAAATGATTCAAGGCATAAGAATTTTCTGCAACTTCACCCTTTAAATGGCCAATCCTCCTCATCATAAAAACTAAAGAACAAAAGAGAGAACCATGGAGCCTGGGTTCTGAGGGAGCCTCTGAAGAGAAGCAGAGCTTCACCTACTGCTCTGCACAGCGCTGCCTATGGCAGTCTGTTCATAACTGCTTAAGAGTTTCCTGCACGCTAAGCGATTTTCACCGTGGTGCCTGGCAGGAGCCCACTGAGAGCAGCTTGGCTGTGCGCGCCCGACTCTCCAGAGGTGCCCGATCCAGTTACCTGCCCGTCCTTGGCGTAGCAGACGGAGTTGGACTGGGTGTATTTGACAGCGATGCTGGCAACGGTCAGGTCTCGGACAGCAGCTTCGGGCAGCTGAAACGACACAAGCCCTTGTCAACAGCCCGCTCGGACAGGCGGCGCCCACGGCTGTTTGCAACTGGCTAATGACCTGCAACCTCCAGAACCACCAGAAGTACCGCACCACAGACGGGGAAGAACAAGACAGCTAAAGATACCCCACTTTGTTCAATTGCTAACAAATTCTGTTTAGATTTTAAAAAATTATACATGATTGGTTGAGGAGCTCATGTCATCAGCTAGACAGGACTCAATTTTACCAGGTCACAGCAGCTCTACCACTGGGCCTAATCATGCAGTGTCTTCTGTATTTTCTGGCTTTCATCAGAAATGCTCATAGGCAAAAAGCTGAGTACATGCTTAAGTATGCAGAAGACTAACAGCACTAATATCTACAGATTCTACATTATGTATTAAGTGTATTCCATTACTAATCTGTAAAAATGGTTTTCATTACCTCAATGTCTGAACTTACTTCTGAGCCCAAGACTAATAACATGCTCATTAACATCTGCTTTTTAAATGAAAACAAGGCTCAGGATGAAAAAATAACTGATAACTTTCTGATGATGTGAGCTCTACAGAGGGAGCAACATCAGTGAGGCCACAGTTTATACAGTACATTGTAAACCAAGGGGCGAATTAAACAATGAGTCAGAGTGAGATCACATTAGATCCTTAGCACATGGCTTTCTAACCAGAAGAAATTAAACAAGGTAGCTTCCTATTTATATGGCATACAAATAATTTGGTAGTCAGAGATAAAGGAAAAAGTCCAGCTTATCTTATTTATGCAAAGAATCAGAACAAAGGCAAACTACCCACTTTTGCCCAAGTATATTTGGTCCAGAATTCATTACACTAGTTAGCCAAAAGCTAATTTTAGCTCATTAAAACCTTTCAAAAGCTCTTAAAATAGAACAGTGCTAACACCCTTGATGAAAGCATACCAACTCACTCCACCAAGCTTTACGCTCATTTATCAGTCTTTTGACACTCACATTTTTATTTTTTGTAACGATATTCTTGAACAATGACCGGTCAATGACTGCATTGTTCCTCTTCTGCATGAGATGCAATCCATAGAGAGTTCGAATTTCATTGTCATCTGGCTCATAAGCAGGATCCATCTAAAAGCCAACAGAGAGGCCAATAATATATCTCTTCAAAGCCAACATTCAATAATAGCTTAGGTTAAAAAAACATTATAAGGAATCCAAAAGAAGGGAATTGATAAGAAGAAACCACGCCAGACTATCAAAAGTAATTAGAAGTAACTGGAGTAGCCAGTTCTTACCAGCATGAAGTGGCATTTACAGGCTGGTGAGAGGTAATGTACTTTGGAGGCTTATATACTAGTGTCTACCTTGTGAGACACACACACAGTCCTACAGTGTTCCACAGAAAGGTAGAAAGCTTCTGAGCTGCTTCACGTGTGCCTCAAGATTCAATTCCTACCCCCTCTGACTTAAAGGCAAACAGTTAATATGATTATTTCCAGAGATGTATTCTCTTGGGGCTCATCTCCACACAAGCATGCAACACAATGTATGTCAACATAAGGAACAAATTTAAAGGGGAATTGTTAAACTAACCTAGGTCTGCATATGCATGGGTTTATTTATAATTATTGTAGCCCCAGTTCATTAAGACACAAAGTAAGCCAGATCAAATTAAGGCTACTAATTCTAAATAGGAGCACACATCCACTTTATGTGGTTTACCTGATCTATTGAAGTTCACTCAGATCAACTTTCCTTAGCAACCCTGTGCAGACAAGCCCTGAAGCTAAAGGCTTAACCAATACAACCTCACCCTTGAAAGCTAATTGAATTCAGGAGGTAATCAGCTGCCAAGATTGTCTGCAATCTCCCTTGGTAGTAACATTGCAATTGCAACCTCAGCTAAGCCTTAGATTTTCTTTCTGTAATGGAATAGTCAAGTTCTTTGCTCATTTGTCTCCCAGAGTCAGGCTGTTTGGCTGCTCTGACAACACTGTGTAATATTAGCCATGTTCACCCAATCCGGATGATTCTGAAGTCCCAATAAGCAGTAGGGGAAGTAAGAAGACAACCAAACACTTATTCAACGACACCACCTTAATACCCCTGGACAAGCATCACGGTTACCGTATGGAAAGGTGTGCCATCCCTGGGTCGAAATTGGGCCTGTCCTGCTGTCTTCACCACTAACTTGACAGATCATCCTACAAACACTTCTGTGCTCTGTGGAGGAGTCTGGAGCACACCCAAAGCTAACTGGATATTAACATCTGTGGAAAGCAGGTATGCGTAGAGCAGCAGAGGGTTACAGTGGAGCGGGAACACAAACCTGAAGGACACAGTAACTACCATTCTTCTTTTTTGCAAGGATTTTGAGAGCTTCTTCCTCATAGCCAGGAGCTACCACACCGTCAGATACCTGCAACACACAGAGATCTCAGCTTCTACAGAAAGAGCAAAAGAGATATCCTGAAAACTCCACCTGCCATGCCCAGAAAGGCACTAAAAGCCCATTTCTCAGGGCTACATATACACCATACAGTACCCATGGCACTAGCATAGTGTTGGTTCCAAACCTTGGAACAGCAAAAAGGTCCTAGTAGGAGTTACTAAAAAAAGCCTCACCAATACTTTAAACACAATAGAACTAATAAGTAATCTCTCTCCAGGACAGGATTGCTGGTAAATCACATACCCACTTCTCCACCCAACAGTAAACATGCCTTTAAACACACACACAAAACTTTATTTTTTTTAACAATGACTTGCCTGATGATATGAAGCATCTGCAAGGGAAATGCTTTAACAGCATTAAAACAAAGAAAAACAATTTACATTTAGAGCCATAAAGGGGTATTTTCCTCTCATGTTCTTATCTCTAGCTTAAAAAGTAAGAGCATACCCTACCTTATCTTCACAAACCAGTCACATGTGACCTTCCATTTGTTTTGCAAAAAGGACTTTAACATACAAGAAATAGTCCTTTGCATTTGCTTTCCTCCTCTCAGGTAGGTGAAGAACTAATAGGATGAGTATGTTTGGTAAAGCATTAAGTCCCTGTTTAACTCTGCATTCCATCTAGTGACTTGCGCAGTGTGGTCAGCTAGAGTTAAAGCCGAAGGTAAAAGAGTAAAAAGAGTGTAAAATGCCTGAGGCTCCAAATAACTGGTATTGAGTGGCAGGCAGCAACCTACACCTGCATTCCCGCAGGCAGGAGGCCAACGAGCGGGTTGGTGGGTCCTCTACTGCTCCCTTAGAGCTGTTCAATCAGACGCTAGTGACAGCGTAATCAGGGCTTATTTCGTGAGGCCTCATCAAGGACACTGGTTTGCAGTCATTCTCAGAGAGCAGCATTTGAGCGCTGCTCTTCCCAAGGCTCTGCCATGCAGCCAGGTTTCAAATGGTGTAAGGAGAAACTTCTCAGAAGTGGGGTGTAAATTTTGCACCCTAGATACTGAACTATACAAATAGACCAAGAAATAGTTTGAAATAAAATGGATCACAAGCCCCCAGTTGTTTGAACCAAATGACCAGCGTAAGCAAATGGCTTCATCCAGTGTTATTCTCCCTTTTGTACCAGAATAATTTGTTGCTCTTTGACTAACCTCTCTGGAAATAATTTTAGCAGTAGCCAAATCGCAGATATCAGACAGAGCAATGAAGTCACCAAAAGACGACATCCGATCAGCACCTGCAAAATCGTATTTTCTGGTAACTTATTCAGCTACAGCATAATACAAAAAGCTCTTTGCTCCTACAATCCATTTTTTCCACAAAAGTTGGTAATTTAACCCCAAAGCAGAAAAATAGACTATATAAAAAGAACAAGAATGAAAAATCCTACCTCAAACACATGCACCTTTAAATATTCCCATAGCTCAGATATTCTTCCTTCTTCACTGCATTTGTCAAAGCTCTAACTGTAACCACTACCTCCGTTAACGCTAGCAGCTCTGCTGTAGCCATGATAGCAAGAGGACATAGGAGAGGAAAGGTTTGCACAGAAAGATAGTTTAGTTGGGAGACAGTTGGAAAATAGGTACTTATTCAAATGCATATACCCCATCAGGCTTTTTCTGCAAGAAAGCAGACCCAAAAATGTAGCTAAGAGCAATTAATAATACATGTAATCTGTATGTAATGACACAATGAAGCATTAACAGCATTCAGCCTGTCACTTGATGCTTTCCAACTCAACATCAGTTCTTCGGTCAATGCCATTTTAAAGCTTTGTTTTTCTACTGATCATGCCATGGTTTTCTGTGGCCAGTGATCAAAGGTGACCCCTAAAGTAGTGAAAACAGGAACCCATGCCAGTATACCTTACCAAGCAATTTGTTTTGTTTTCCATAATCTGTCTTGATTCTCCTCAATTGTCATGGACAATGAGAGAACTTGACAAGTATTTCAGCTAGACAGAGGGAGAAATTGCTGTTTACTTATTTTAAAACTTTTTTTTTGTGAGCTCTCAACTACAAAAGCATTTAAAAAAATCCTCCACAAAACGAAGAGCAGAACAATTTTGCTCAAACAAATACTCCCTACCACTCCATCTGCGGCTGAATACTATGTGCTACCAGCACAGCTGTTTGGTTGCTCACAGATCCTTCAGCCAAATTTCCCACAAATATTTTTGTTTCATTAATAAAAAGCACTTTATAGGACTTCCATATATATCACAAAAAGAACATATTCTAAAATAATTTTAGCCTCTTTGGAACCATATTCAAGTTCAACTCATTTTGAGAGCAATTTTTGATTTGTTCATTTAGCCTAATAATCAGATCCTTATGGAGAAAGGCCTAAAAGGGAGGAGTACACTGCAAAGAGAAGCGCCTGCCAAGTGCCACGCATGTTGTCCAGAGTTGAGCACTAGCTCAGTTCTTCAGACAAGCTAGTTTATCCTTGGGCCTCTCACCTCTGCTGCGTGCATAGGCACATGCTAAGGGTGTTAGGGTCTTCTGGAAATCGTGCACCATGCAGACTTGGGCCTCCTCCTCACTGAGTGGTATTCCAACAGCAGCACCTAGTGGGAAATGCAAGTAGGGCACTCAGAGCAGAAGCTTTTTCTGGTCCCAACTCCTGGAACTTCTCCCACATCATCACGGTAGAGGGATGCAGACAGAACAGTGGCAGGGCCTGCCCAGAGTCTATTCAAAGAGAAAGGCAAGGAGCCAGCCTACCTGCAGGGCTGACGTGATTAAGGGCATCACACAGGTTGATAAACCCTGGAGAGCCATTCACCACTGCAGACAGGGCACAGAGAGACACATTAAAGCATGCAGACCCTTGTCCCTGGAGACCAAGTGAGAGAGACTTCTCCCATCAAGAACCAAAGTCACTATAAACCTGTTGTTTTGAGAAACACAGTTCCTTAGTAACTATTTTGGAAGTATCAGCATCTTTTGAGGAATGCACAGGCTTGGGACTCACCTGTCAGAGGAAGTTTTGGCCTCAGTGTGTAGAGCTGTGCAGGACTCTGGTGGGGGTTCATGCCGTACCTCAGGGGCAGCTGGGACACCCCCTTGCTATACTCCTTCCTGAAGTAGTCAGAGATGGCTGCATCATACTGAGCAGTGTGGGTGAAAGCCTGGGGGCAGAATGGGCAAGACTCATGAATTACGATGGATTTGGCATTTAACAGAAACGAATAAGTGAAAGACAGATGAGCCTGGCCTAGCGCTTCAGCGTGAGCAAATGTGAGCTACCTTCAGTGCAAGCTGACGTCTGGTTTCCATGGAGGTGTCTCTGTCCTTTAATGCCTTCATCTCATTAGCCACCGAAGAGTAGTCTGCAGGGTCACACACGACTGTCACGCGAGCGTGGTTCTTGGCAGCTGCCCGCAGCAAGGCGACTCCTCCTGGAAGAGGAGAGCATGGAGGCGTGAAGCACTTCCCTTCTGGGCACAGCATGGCCAAGACTCATGTCTGGGGCCAGGAAAGGGCATGCACTAATCAAACATTTGTGCCAGATGAATGTGCACAGCTCCCCCCGATCTGCAAACAGAAAGCACTACAGTGCTCCTGAAAACATACATGGCAAAGTCAATCAGTTGACTCAACCCACTGGTGAATCTGGTTGGCATTAACTCATTAATTGCCCTTTGCAGAAAGGGACAGAGCTGCAGAAAAAGCTGTGATGACAGTTTGGCAAGAGAGCCTTCAAGCAGCACAGGCATATCCTGGAGAGGACAGCTGTGTACAGACATTGCTTAAGCACCATTCTCTGCGACGCTGGACACGGTGTAGATGTACTGCTACACTGCTGAGCAAACGAGGTTCTCTAATCTCTCTGCAAATATTAACAAATCATGCTCTAGTAATCTGTGTAAGACAAAATGCCATGCTTTCCCCTTAAATTCAACTCAACACAGCTAATAAAACACTAAAGATCATGCAAGATACTAGGCTGCTGCAAAGGAAAGTGGAGGCTGGCACTGCTACATGCAGAATGAGTACTACTCCATAAAACATTTATTAGAGAGCTCTACTGGGCATCATTTGGACTGAACGACTACAAGAAAATTCAATCCCCATTCAGCCTTGTGGCACAAAACTGTGCCTGCACTGTTCGCAAGCTGCCAGGCAGAGATGCAGCAGTGCAGGAAAGGCAAGGCCTTTTGGGGCTAATAACCAGCAAGGGGAGCAGAACGGCTGATGAGATTACTCTCCCACACAAGCAGACCAGCCTCTGTCCTCATAATTGTTTCCTGCAGTGCAATTTTCAGTGATCCTCAGAACATTTTCTGTGGTTCAGCTTCTCTCCAGAGCTCCTGGTTTATTTTTTATTAGGCTGCCACGGGCTGCAAAAGAGGTTTAATCAGCGTTCCATCTACCCGTTCTAGCACGGCCTTCTGCACATCAGGATCTTTCCTTTGGGCAGTGAAAGACTTCCCCAGCCCAGCAGCATGACTTACCAGCCCATTACAGCCATTTACTATTGCCATTTGAATTTTAGCTCTGCTTAAAATTAATGAGATTTACCCAGATATGCTGTCTTTCCCCCCTGTAGCCCTCAAGCTCTCTGGCCAATTTGGATAGAATTTCACTGAAAGCAGAAAGAAACGTAGAGAACATATAAAAGAGGTGTCCCTTCTTCCTGTCCTCCCAGAGGAGGCAGATTGCAGCATAAGATGCAGCTCTACCACTCTACTAGCTCCTCACTACCAGCTTCACAGTTTCAGAGTGAGAATGTCTGTCAAGAATTAGTTTCCTAGTCGCAAGCAGGTCAGTTCTGCATTCAGTTCTCTTCTAACAACTGACAGATTAATCCTAAATCATGTTCCGCTTCCTTTGTGAGCAATACCACTGTTATATGTTACAACCTGGCTCAACTCTCATTCATTCTTATCTGGCAATTCACATGGACATGATGCACATGTTGAGGGGCAGCACTGCTCCTGTAAAATACATGCTCAGAGACCATCCTGCAACCACTGCTAGGAGCGACAGACCCACATGAGCTAAGTGGCGAACTCACGTGAAGGGAGACACTTCAATGAAACCCCCAAATCACTGCACACATCATGATGTGTTAAACTGCAGCACCAGGTTTTCTTTCCTCTTCTTCTGGCCACACCGCTGGAATGGTTTAATTCCTGGGACCACAGCTTGATAAGGGAGCAGAGCAAGACAGCATCCTAAGGAACTGTTATTCCAATCCCTGATCTCCAACATCACAGCAGACAAACCAAGGGGTATGATGATCAAGGGTATGCAAGAGCTTCAGACAAAGAAGAAAGGCAGAAGCATCAAATCTGCGGAGAAAATGTTTTTCCATTTGACTTACCAATATCAATCTTTTCCACTGCCTCTTCTACAGTTACATCTGGAGAGGATACCGTCTTCACAAAGGGGTAGAGGTTACATACTACAACTCTGAAAATTGTGGGGAAAAACTAGGTTATTCATGAAGAAAAAAAAAAAAAAAGGCCAAACTTTACTTGATACATGCAAGTTTTTTTTTTTTTTTGGTTGTTTTGTTTTTTCTCTTCGTTCACCAACTGGCATGAAAGACAGCACCCAGATCCACTGCAAATTTAGAACATAAGAGCATCATCAATCCGTTTAATTTTCCAGTTTTTTTTAAGTGACCTACATGCCACCTTCCGTGGTTTTAAAATACAAACAACGTATGAAATCCCAGAGGTATGAAGTGCAGTTTAATTTTCCAGTTTTTTTTTTTAAGTGACCTACATGCCACTTTCCGTGGTTTTAAAATACACACAGCGTATGAAATCCCAGAGGTATGAAGTGCATAATCTAGATCACATAAAACTTCAGTGGCTCATTAAAGCAGAGGGAGGGCTGACTTTTCCCTCTCCAGGTAAGACTGGATCTTACATTAGTTAGTTTCTTAAGGTGATCACATAGTTTTTCTCCCAATTTATTATACTGAAGCAGCAGGAGTCTACTTCAGGAAGCATGAAAGGATAACTACTTCTGTTGCAGCTTATGTATGTGCTCAGCACCCTGTATAGTACAACGTATGGCACAGTGACAGATCATACCTGTTTCGACATTCCCATACAATGTTTTTAATCTAACAGAATGAATTTGCTTTCTTGTTCTGAATGTATGAAGGTATGAATCCCTGGTACATGCCAAGTAGTGGCAGTGCATACATCTTGGTCCAACTCTAATATTCCTTCATTTCCATGCTGCATCATGAATTTGAGGGGTGATCAGCTTTCGGCATGGATTTCAGAACCCCGCAATTCTCTAAACTTGCTTAGATGTCTTGTCATTTGGGTCCTGTCCTATTTCTAACACCTTGCCCCCCATTACTGTGCTTCCTCATTCATGCTTCTGACCTGTTGCAAATTGCCAGGACTCTGTGTACTTTATCATTGCTAATGGTTTTATCTATGGAAACCAATCAATAAGACTGGGAAACCAATCAGATAATCAATATAAAGATTTGCTGCCTTGATTTGCTACCTTGAAAATGCAACTTTAACTTCAGCTATGCAAATACCCTCCTGTTGAGCATCAGTTCTTTTGGCTTTTATGTAAGATTACCAAAATCCAAATTATTGCTCTGGATAAGAGAGCACTGTAGGTAAATCATCGATACAAAAATGTCACTCCTCCTGTAGTTCAGTAGAGCCTGCTGATATGCAACATACTCTGAAAAGCCACCATTGCTGAGCGATCTGTGAAGATTCTTGTGGTTTTAAATGTCAGGTTTTCAAATTCAGCCAGGAAATCCATCCATGCTATGCATATCAGCTTTTTAAGTTCCTTTCCAAAATTAAAATGGATTCTGGCCCAATCACCATAGTCAAACTATATCTCCCAATTTGGCTAAAATTACAATTTACTATGCTCAAATTCTGCTGTGGATTTCTAAATCAGGAGTTACCCATTAAGACAGAATTTAGTTATTCACAGTCACTAGCTAGAAATTAAACCCAACTACTTAAACATAGTCCCAAACTGCCACAGGAAAATATTCTAACAAAAATCAGTATATTAACAAAAACAGTAAGAAGAATTTGGTATGTGTTAGTGTCTGAGCTGCATTACTTTTCTGTTTCCAATTCCAGCTTGCTTGCTCTTATGACGACTCTCAAATTCAGTTTTCCTATTATTCAATTGCACAAACAAAACATGTTACTGACCTGTTTTTCATGTCTAAAGTCATTGATTTATGTGCTGAAACTCAGATGAGATTAGGTAGATCTCAAAGGGTATATTTACCAAGCATTTCCAAATCAGGAATTGTCATCTGATCAAACACCCAGAGCCAAGCTGAGAGGAGATGCACCAGCTTCATAAGTGCTGAATTGAATTTTGTGAAGTTAAATTCCCAACTGAAAGAAATTAAAACTCTTGCTTCCTGTTGAAACCATGGTGCAACTTTTTCCTTTTTTTGTTTGTTTGTTGTGACTTGTTTCAAGCTATGAAGATTAATCTGTAGAACATGCCTTTGAAAACACAGTACCTCCCAACAAGTGAACAAGTAAACTCTAGTTTGCACATCTCACAAGTAAATGGGAACAGTAGGGATTGTGTTGGCCAGTCTCCACTATCCATCTCTGATGGATGAATTGCATCACGGCCCCCACACTTACCTTACAAGGCTGAAATCCTGTTTGTCCATATCAGCATTATCTTCTGGAATATTGCGAGCCAAGATGCCTAGTTACAGAAACATTACGTTATTATTATTTTTTTTTTAAATACAGCATTTTTCTTCAGACTGCTTCTTCTCAGAGTTTCTACCATAAACATTCTCATTCTTTTCAGACAACAGTCTTCAATTGCTATTCCCCTCCCTTATTCCATCTTACTGTCTTTCTGGCTGTTCAAATTTCACATGAATAATTTATTTTTTCCCCTCAGTGCTAAATCCTAAAGGATTCCAAGTCCTGAACAGACAACCTCAAAAACTGTACTTTATAACCATTCAGTTGTTAACCTTTAAATGCTGAACTGTCATTTTGGAGTTCACAGAAAGAGCCACCTGCCACTTATAAATGAGCAATACACAGAGCCCCTGGATCGACCTGAGAAGGAGAGGCTGTGCCTCTAACTGAGCAGTGTAGGAAATTGCAAAGAGACTGGCTGGCACAGAGTAAGCAAGAGCACAGTCTAGGGTTGAAGGTTTTCAGGAGAGACACAGTTTCCAGCCCTCTTGGGTAATTGCCAGACAGGTAACTGGCTTAATTCAAGGCATCTCAAGCATAGAAACTGGACGTGAAACAGCAGATAGGATAACGGCTGACTGACAAGATATCAGACTTCTTCGTTGCTGAGGAGGAGCAGAGAAGCTTGGTGAATGCAGGAATCGCCCTTTAAAGGCTCTGCTGTCATGTTCCCTGTGCTGTGTGCCAGATTGCTCTGCAGGTCAAACACAGTGGCACTCTGCCGGACAGAACGGCTCTGAAACGGGCTGTGTCAGGAACGTGCAATGGCACGTCCTGCAAACCCTGTTACCTGCCACTCCAGCGAGGAAAAGCTCTGCTGCCTGCAGGGAAGTCAGCACAGCAGTAGAGAAAGCCAAGCGCACACTGCACACTTCTGCTCCCGCATTACCAACAGAGGAAATCTGTTTTCACCAGTCATTTTTTTCCATCCAGCCTTTAAAAAGACATCCGTTAACCCCTTCTTCCCACTCCCAATGCATGTGGATTTGCGTTTTAGATTGACAGCATCTAATAGTACAAACCTACCCGCATGGACTGCAGGATGAAGGGTTTTCACACGTCCACCCAGCATCTCAGGGAACCCGGTCAGGTCTGACACATCTCTGTGCAGTGAGAAAACACTTCAGTGTGGCAATGGATACCTCATACTGACTTATCTCGAAGCTGAATGTCCGTAATTCCCATCATGGCAGTAAATTAAATTTACTGGCAATGTTGGTTATACTGGAAGGAGACTTAAACCCTAGAAGTTTTGAAGGGAAACAATTAAAATTAACAAATCTATTTTGGTTGGTTTGGGGTGGGGAGGAAGGTTTCCATCAGTGACAGGAGAAGGCATGGGATATGCATGATTCCTGCAAATTTCAATATCTTCTAAGAAGATACACAACAAAGTATATTACTGAACTGAAAGAAAATACTCTATGCTGGCTGATAGACTATGATGTGTTGTTCTTAGGAAAGGCTGACAAGTAGTTCTCAGAAGTGTCCCATGTCCAGATAGATGGATCTGACCATTTTTTGTTATGGTCTGCATCTGACTACGCAGCAGACAACATCTGCAGCACGATGATCCTTGCAGCTCTATTGGCCACCACACATCTTCCTGCGCTAGAACAGCCTCTGGCCTTGGCCAACCTACCTCTGGCCAAGAAGAAGGGTCCTGAAACCTGCCTTGGGTGGGTTGTTTTTTGGAAAGGATATGCGTGTGTATTTTGCTTTCCGGTGTAATTTTTTGTTGCCACCAGCTTTCAATCATTTTCGCTTGCAAATGGAGAAAGTGATTTAGCAACCGGGTACAGATTTGGAGGGTGGCGTGCAAGCCAGAGCCCTTACCTGACGGTCAGGCCAGCATCTCTCAGGGACTTGGCTGTTCCCCCCGAGGCGATCAAACCCAGGCCAAGGGAGCTGAGCGCCCTCGCAAAATCCACCAGGCCGGTCTTGTCGGAGACGCTGAATAAAGCTGTCGGGAAGGGGAGAGAACACGCGCTTCGGAATTAGGAGAAAGGGAAGATTACGAGACTGGACACTTTATCATTTTATATAAAGAGATAAAAAGCTGGTGGAAGGAGCTCACGCTCTAAAAACATGACCACTTAATTCTTTTATTTCTGCATCTCAAGATTTGGAAAAGTTTCTTGCAGCTGTTTTAATTTATTGTACAACAGAAAAGTCGAAGTATAGGGGAAAAAAAAAAAGGAAAGAAAAAAAAATATATATATTAACAAGTAACCAGAGTTTAACTATGGCAGAGGGAAGTGCTTCCCCTGCAGCACAGGAACTACCGGGTTAAAAATCCGTGCGCAAGGGGTGGCATCAGATCTCGGCACGGCAGTGGCGGGCGTTGAGCGGGGCTGGAAGCCACATTTCACTGCAGGGCCCCCAGGCGCCATGCGCGGCTGCCCCCTGCCCCGCTCCCTTCTCCCCGCAGCCCCGCGCGGCCAT